ATAAATGAGCGGCAGGACATCGGTAACCCATCAAAATGTAGTGACGTCATCCAATCAAGACAACTCGAAGGCAAGAGAGCTTGTAGGGCAAAATCAGTCTTCAAGCGAAAGTGATCGATCATCTAGTTATTGCTCCATTCCCTCGATAGCTTCCCTTGAAAGTGATGTGAACAGTACTTTTCCTGATGAAAGAACCAATGTAATTGAGGAATTTGATTTCCTTTTCCTGTAGGCGATCTTTAAGTCTATTTATTTTGGTTGTCAGCGTGCTGATTGCTTTCTTCCGACTTCGGTTTTCGTCTCCCACAAACTTGCACACGTCGCAACTCTGGTGGAAGTATAAGTGAGTCTCTTCCTAAAATGACGAAAATGGAGCATTTAATGATATAATTTGACTCTAATACGTTGGAATTCCTTGACTTGGCCATGTGTTGTTTATATGTACTGACACGATCGCGTGTGTTCGCATGCAAAATCTCTCTTCCGGCTTGTTTTTACCTGGTAATCTATTGTTTCCTTGGCGGGAAACGAAGCCGCAAGCTCATCTGCTTCGAAATGAGAAACGGCAATCTCATCGGCGGACTTTCCCGTTAACTCCGAAGATACTCAGTCTTGATCCCCAGAAGCATCGTTATTCAAAGAACCAGAATCGCAATGATTTCGGACCCGTCCGCGAAATCTGACGATGTAGATGTCGGTAGCTGCATGCAGAGATCACATAAGATCAATATCGATAGAAACTGGTATTGTTCTATAGAAGACAGCTTATAGTAGAGAAAGCAACGTACAGCTGTGTACGTATAATGAGTTAAAATCAAACAGTTGAACATCACAATAACCTTTTATGCCGTGTTCCGCTGTGGATGCACTTCGCGTTCATGGTTTGTCTCTATTACAGGATTTGCCAGGCAGAGTGGCATCGCTGTCTTCGAATTATATATCTCTTTCATAATTTATACAGATCAATTAATATTATAAATATTATGAACATTTGATAAATACGAAGTTTGAATTTTGCTGGACGGTCATGTCTTTGCATTCTAATGAATGCGACTAACACCTCCACTTTGACAAACTGTTGAAGAACTATTTAGACAGATTTCCAGAATACTTTACTACAAGTTACAATAAACCTACGAATAACGAATAGTGAATAAAAGCTTGGAAAATTATACAGTTTATGTGTTTTTTTAGATATTTCCTACAGGTGTGGAATAGTTGAGAAAAATTGATTAGAAAAGTCGACTCACCATGCGTGATCCTTCGATGAAGTACTTGAGGTTTTCTCGTGATTACTGCGACTTTCTCTAACTTTTCCAGTTAGTTGGTACTGATCCTGGTAATAATCTTCTCAATGCCTCTTTTAGATGGCATGTCCTTGAAAAACGCGATTCTAAAAAATGCTCAGAAACAACAAACTGGCCTTCGGGATCGAAGTTTTTTCTGTGAAGTCTGACAAAGTTCTTCCACTTCGCGGCAAGATTTTTGTTCACGGGGGAGTCGTGTAGAGAGATTCCATCTTGTGGACTTGATCTATTGCTGCATCCCTGCACAACACATCGAGGCGAAGGCATTGTGATATGCCAGCTTTAAAATTATAATCGTAAGATTCGAACTTTTCGCGTTTCTTACTCCTATAAAACCATGGAAATAACACTCATGGCTTTGACAAATTTATGTCTTGGTTGATTGGATGACATCACTGCCGGTCTCCCCATATCTCCTCGGCCATTCAGTACATTCCAATCGGATTCAACAGCCTCGAAAAAGATCGTCCAAAAAATGCTACTTGCCGTAGGAATTTAAACTCAAAAATCGATATAGTCATTCCTTAACGATTTGAGATCCCAAACACAAAATTTCATTGTGATCGGAGATACTGACGTTTTTCGTCACAGTCCCGCTTTAACCAGACAATAATTTTTAATGCAGACAGAATTACCCTCGCTTTAAATGTGTTCGAGACTGACTATGAACTTCAATACAGTGAAAGTTACACCGGCACTACTCATCGAGAAGCAACAATGGAAGTACTGTACCTTCTTAGATAGAGCCTTTCAATCACATATCCAAAAATTTCAACAATTTTGTCTTGACAATAGGATGTACTGCAGTTGCTATTTATTGTGAAGGCAATGTTGGCTCGAAAATATTTGATTCTCATGCAAGGGATATTTATGGTAGAAGCCATTCTCAAGGTACATGTGTTCCGCTTGAAGTATCAGCACTGAATTAGCCTGTACAGCCGCGCTGCTGTACACAGGTTACACTGAATGGCTTAGTACATTATTTTCGGAGTATACATAACAATATATTTGAGTTGAAAGGGGTTAAAATTGATAAAGTTCAAAATAGTGCCCATTTTCAGTCATACCTGTGAAACCAGAAAGTTCAATGTGTGCTGCTTGAAATGTCATCACTGAATAGCTTAGTACATTATTTTCAGAGTATACATAACGATATATTTGAGTTGAAAGGGGTTAAAAATTGATAAAGTTCAAAATAGCCACAGCACAATTCACATTGAACTTTCTGGTTTCACAGGCATGCCTGAAAATGGGCACTATTTTGAACTTTATCAATTTTAACCCCTTTCAACTCAAATATATCGTTATGTATGCTCAGAAAATAATGTACTAAGCTATTCAGTGATGATACTTCAAGCAGCACACATGTACCTTGAGAAAGACTTCTACCATAAATATCCCTGGCATGAGAATCGAATATTTTCAAGCCCACATTGCCTTTACAATAGGTAGCAACTGCAGTACATCCTATTGTCAAGACAAAATTGTTGAAATTTTTGGCTATAAGTGAAAAAGGCTCTATCTAAGGAGGTAAATTACTGTTATCCTTCTATTGTAGCTTCTTGATGAATAGTGCCAGTGTAACTTTCACTGTATTGAAGTTCATAGTCAGTCTTGAACACGTTTCAAAGTGTGGGTAATTCTGTCTGCATTAAAAATGATTTGGATATATCAAAAAAGTTGAAATGGTAAATTGGCCACCGTAACGATTACAAAAGCTGACGTTTTGAGCGTTAGCCCTTTGTTACGGTGGCCAATTTACCATTTCAACCTCGTTGATATATCCAAATTATTTCATTACCCCCACCGACGCAGCTCCCAAACAGTTTCTTTAGAAACTATCAGCCTTAATTCATTAAAAATGATTGTCTGGCTAACTGAGACAAACTTGAATACAACTGATTTCCAGTATTGATTATTGACAC